ACTTAAAAGCTTACCGTTGGAGTTGAAATCCAGGAAACAGTACTTAGTAGCACGCGAATGAGAGATATCGGTGCGATGCAATACGTCCAGTAATATTGACGTTCAACTGTGAAGGCGCCATAGTAGCTACCAGGCTTACCACACCACCACTGTCGTTCCAAGCGGAACACAATGCATGACACTGACAGAAATAATAGGGAGATTTAGAATACCGTTTGCAAGCGCTGCGGGCGTTGCGGGCGTAGCGGGCGCCATAAGAGTTTTAGAAGAGCGTTTGCCCTGCTGCATCGCAACGCACGATTGCAGTGACACCGTAGCCGAGAAACCAGCGCTTGCGGGCCAAATGCGGGCCGCCATCACCACACGCGATTTCGGATTTTCTGCGTGCGGTCCACGAACGCGAACACCGGCTCGTGTTCCGACGCATGCGCAGTGGCAGCGACCGCAGCACAAGGGCTCGCGGTGCGCTATTCTAAAGCTTCCTAATGTCGTCTTATGTGAGCAACCAAATAAATGATTACATTGCTTTAGCTAAACATCTTTTATAAAATCGCAAGGTTCTAAAAGAAGTCACAGGTGATGGAAGCAGCACTAATGCTTACTCAAATGAAAACTGTGAGCCCCCCCCCCCCCCCCCCACAACGTTTCCTGGGATATTGTGTTGCATGGCAGGCAAACGCTATGTGCATCTGGTGCATCTCGGCCCTTGGCGCGTTGGGCAGCGCCTGCATCGTCAATACTGTGACAGTGTGCACGCACCTAAGTCGTCCGTGGGACTGCTCTCGCAGTAAAATACCCTCCTCTCTCTCTCTCTCTCTCTCTCTCTCTCTCTCTCTCTATATATATATATATATATATATATATATATATATATATATATATATATATATATATATATATATATATATATATATATATATATATATATACCTGCTAGTGTGTGTCATCTCGTCCTTGTAGGTCGAAGAAATGTAAAGAAGCAGGAACCAATGAAGAAAGAGTATATTTTAAACCATGATTGTGTAAAAAGAGCAGTCAGGTATAGATACCTAACAGAAAAATTCAGAAAATTCAAAATCGGGTGACAAGGTTCATCTTGGGATGGTACAAGGGAGGGTCTGAGCTGCAATCAAATGAAAAAAATTAACTTGGGTGGGAATCGCTTTCCTCGCGTCGGCAATGTACGTGACTGAAGCTCTTTTTACAGGTATAAAGCAATAAAACAAGTAAGAACAAAAAATACTTTAAGGATCCTTATTACTATTCACCTATAACTGACCATATTTCCAAATTAAAAGAATGGCGTACCAAGACAATCCTACTTGTAAAACCATCTTTTTTGTTATAACCATTGAAGCGTGGAATAAGCTGCATGAAATGCAATCTGCTGTAGAAGTGAAAACTTGTTCATGTCGCTGCTGTAACTACCCCACTGTAGTGCCTTCAGGCAATGCAGGGTAATCCTTCAATAAATAATAAAGAAAAGAATAAAGGATGTCGAAAACCCGACGGCCACGAAATTTCCGTGCTTATAATGTACGTCATACTGAAGCATGATTTATACTTCTATGCACATTTATAAAAGAAGCATGTCTGTAATGAGTTAACTTTTTCCTTATCCACTTCCAACACCGTTCTTACTTGTTTTCAAGCGTACTACTCGTACCTCAGGAGGATGTCCGAATGTGACGTAAGGACAGGATAGGGGATTGCCGCATTTGTCCCCAGGCAGTCTGACGTCTTCCGTTCAGCCACGTGGTCGTCTAGCGCCTTTGAACGATTACTTCTAATATTTTGGGGCCCAATAAACTTTTCTTAAGTTTCCTGCCGACGTATCTCTGCTTCTCTTTGTCTGCTGACTGGTCAACTTGCCGTCACCTACGAGACAATATCAAAAGGCAGAACAAATCACGAAAATCATATGTTAGAACGTCAGCAGGCTACACTTAACCACACGAAGGGGGGACATAATATTAAAACATCTCATATATTCCCGAAATAACAATGATTAGTGTTCATATAATGATCTTGAGGGTGATGTCACGACAACCTCTTTTCTATAGCAGCCATTTTATGTCCTTTCTTTAACCGCGTTCTGAAAATCGTACGTGTTTCTTCTAGGAGGTTGTACTTAACTAGGCACATGCTTTTTACCTATCTGGTGTGCTCAGGGCCCCACATACTGTTCTAAAGGTTTTATCTGCCCTGCTCGTGACAATTTTCTAGTTGTGGCACAGATCGATAAATGCATTATTTTATTATGTAACTAGAGGACCAAAATTCACTGATGGGGAAATTGGAGAAGAAAGATTTCGGGTAGGTGCACACTATATCATGCGCGCCAAGCCACTACTCATTCCGAAGTCGGCTCTTGTGACAAGCTGATAAGAATTATGTCTCGAGTATGTCTTTTTGTACAACTTCCAAATCAAGATGTAGAAAATTGGCATCGTTCTTTAGATAATAATGTAGAACCGGACCGTGTAGAACGAGGTGCTCCATGTTGGCTATGCATGAAGGGTGGCAAAATGTACACATACAGAAGGTAGAGGTGTCGATGCCCCTCTTCGGGTCAACAAGAGTCTGCCACTTATGAATTACATGAGGAGAGGTGGTGCCATATAGTACTTTTATTTATTGTGTAGCATATTCTACTTGGCCCGAACTGTTGGCCTATCGGATTTTGAAGTAAGTAAATTAAAACAAAAATACTACCAAGCGGTTGACTATGTTTTTAGGGGCGAAGCTTCTTATAGCGGCACCCTTTCGTCTCTCGTAGTATGTAACAAGTATAACATTTTGACCTCCAAGGTGGTGCCGGTGAAAGACTTATTTTGTGCGTTGTTGAACAATAAAAGATAGTGCTCAATGTACATATCGATGGCTGCTAGTGAAGAACGAGAGACAGGAGCATTCGGCTTTTAGTTAACGCGCAGGCTGCGATCACCATTGGCAGCCATTGGCATGTATATTGAGCACTATCTGACAAGAAAGGGTTGCTACGTTATACTCGCTGTGTGTAACCTCCTTAGCTTTAGAAAGGTTTAGCGAGCGTTGAGCCGCAGTGCCATGAATACAATGAACTTGTATATACCATGAATGAACTCGAGGTGGTTAAAAATGGGAAGTAGATACGAAGCGCAAGCCGTAAGAAAGTAAAAGCCGAATTCTCCGCCTCTCATTTCCCATTAGCAGTCATTGGCATGTACATTAAGCACTATCTGACTGAAAAAGTTTGCTACGTCATACTCGCTGGGCGTAACCTCCTTGGTTTTCGAAAGGTTTAGCGAGCGTTCGGCCGCAGTGCCATAAATACAGGAAACTAGTATATACCATGAACTCGAGGTGGTTAAAGGTGGGAAGTGGACCCGAAGCGCAAGCCGTAAGAAAGTGTGCGTGTGCCACCTTTCGTTTAGTCCTTGGAATGTCCGCTGGATGGCGGTGCTTCTATATGGGGAATATATGATAAAAAGATGCGAGATGGTGGTACTTGGAGTGTTGAATAGATGGACGAACGGACACATAAGCAGATGCATGGATGGACGCATGAACGGACAGGACGGACGCACGAACAGACGCACGCACGGACGGGCTGATGGACGCATGGACGGACGAATTCTTCGCCCCACTCTCCATCATTCACTCCGTGGATATGCTGCCATTTTTTATGCAAGTACTTGCCAGTTAGAAAACCCGACACCAGAAGTCTGAATAACTCGTACTTTGGCCTTTCAATAGGCGGAGAGATGGTGATAATATTTTGAGAGTGCGATTATCTTCAAATGCTAATAGCAAAAGGAAGAATGTTCTATTAAGAACCTAGACGGTCTAACAAATAGTAAAACCTGGGTTTTAATATCCCACTGCTACGATATGATTATGAGGGACGCCGTAAAGAAACATTCCAGAAATTTCGACCATCTGGTGTTTTTTAACGTGCAATGACGTCGTAGTGTACCCGGGCCTCCAGCATTTCGCCTCCATCTGAATGCAACCACCGCGGCCGGCATCGAACCCACGACCATCGAGTCAGCAACGTCTAAGCAAGGATGCTGATGAACACGCTACTTATATTTTATGGCGACATAAAAAATTCTGAATTTAAAGCTACGTCGTGGTTGCGCCGAACGTGGTTATAGGCGCACCGAACCGATTTCCGACGTGAGAGGCGAGTAATGTGAAGAGAAAGATTCAGCGTCGTATCAACGCACTCAACTCTTACCATCGCAAATATGGAGATTTGTCCACTGCCTACGAACATTTCCCACAGAAGCACCACCCATTCAAGTCTTTTTCTCCATCAAGGTTATCGCGAAACTGAAGTCGCAAGATGTTTCTGTGCGAGGGTTTCCGGCCAGAGATCTTCGTTGCCCTGAGCAATCTTGGAAATGCACTAGGTCCCTGAGATTTCGGGATGAAAATATGTTCTCTGCAGAGGAGCGTCAGACAGCTTTGGCAGCAGGAAAGCATTCTTCATCACACGGACATCATGGTGCCGCCGGCATGACCGTTTGTAAACTTGGTCAAACAGCCCGGTGCGCCCTTCTGACTGTGTGCAGCGACTCGTGGTGCAATATATTGGCAAGTTTTTCGTAGAAGTCTAACCGCTTAGCCCCACTGTTCAAACCAGGTTAATATTCTCCAGATTTGGCCCCCTATCATCCCGTCGCGCCAACGGATACACGCTGATGTTTCGGCCAGCTTTCAGCCTGCTCGTGCACTCATAAATAACACTGTTAACCTGTTATATTCAAAACTATTGCAGAAAATACTAGTCAGGATTCTTCTGCGTCGTGGTTCTTGAACGTGAAAGTGCATACGAGAATGCATCTTATGAAACCAATCTGAATGTCTTGGGAAATGTTGCTGTGGAAGGCCATGTGTACCGATGGACTTAGTATTGAAAGGGTAAAAATTTCTTTGTACGAACTGAAGATGGTACAGCAACGCATCATTGTACTTGTCGTGGTGTGTCTTAAGGTTGAGTCTTGAGCCCATACGAACAGGGAGCTCATCTGCCTTCTTGATGAGCATCCTGCTTTTCTTTTTTAGAGCATAATTTTGGGCAAGTTGGTGCTTCATACTTCAATACAAGTTCAGTGTATATATACTTCAGTGCAACTGCGAAAAACAAAGACATGGAAAGTATAGAAGTGCACACGCAGTGTGTGTGTCTTATTTTATGCAGTCCGTGCCTTTTTTTGTGGGTGCAGTCGTACTGAAGTTCTTTTCTTCACGTCTCAGTATATGCAGATAACATTCCTACCTGGACATCAGAGGTGACGCGTCTGCATGTGCATGTTAGGCCAGAGGGAGCGGTTCCAATGACGTAAAATTACCTTCAAGGACTAGGGCTAGTGCTTTAAATTGAAATGCTCGCTGTTTGCCTTCACACGGAAAGCAAAAAGACCACACGTCATGGGAATCAATGGACATGTTCTCAGTTACGAGATGCCTTACCACTTGAAGCAATAATAGATATCGGCCTCTGATGGAGCCCTCATACCTCCTATATGAGAAATAAGTTCAGCACGATCACACATGTGCTAACATTTCTTGCGGTTCAATTGCGGGGGTCATTTGTATGAGAAAATATTCAACTTTAAGCCTTACCGTTCCTTCATTTTATGCAGTACGGGTTACCTATGCTGGGAATAACCCGAAGAAGAAACGTATATGACCTCCATAGATTCAAGCCCAAGCATCTATAATACTTCTTGGCCTGAGATGTGCACTTTTAGTAGCCTCTGTCGCCATCGCGTGTGATTCCTAAATAAAAACATATTCATGTCAGTTCATCAAGAATACACATAATACATTTTATTTCGACTCCATCACACTACCTCGCTTCTCCTTCGTGCTTCTAGGCAACAGTTCGCGTTTGGTGGTATGATTGTTGCTTATCGTGTGGTTCTACCATTGAACTTCACGGCTGCAGAAAGGCAACACATATAGTTCTGGTGCCTAGATCACCTTGACGCCGCTCTATCTAACCCTGCAATAAAAAAAAACAACTTGTCGCAGTTAAACCCTACAAGAAGCCACACTGCAGTTCTTGCATGAGAAACACAGTGACGCTTTCACGTTTATATGAACGTTTCAGTTATTACGCAAGCTCAGCAGGAGCTGTGATTAATTCAGTGAAGTTAATAATTATAAAATTCAAGGCATCACATTTAGCATCATCTACGGCTGAAAAGCTCACATTCCTCAGTGCTGCATTACAGTTCGTAATTAGATACCCTCTCGTACATGCACAATATTTACCGACTTTGTATCATGTAAGCCTTCCTTCATGACCCTCACAAACAATTAGTTGCTGACATAACTCTCCTTCAGTGTGCCACACAGAAAAGAAAAACACAACACTTAGTATAAATAAATATCGGACTAGTGCAGAATCTTCTGTAACGTATGGTACATGAGGTCGCCGAATCTGCCCTTCATGGTATTCGCTCTTTATTTATGCCATTATTCAGAGTCAATGTACCTACAAGGTTTCACCCACTGACACGTGAACTTGCCCTTGAACATTTGATGTATTTCTCCAACACTTGGCTTCATAGGGTAAATCCATTTCTCCAGCTCCGTCTCCCCGTTAGGAATATCTCAAGCGGAGGAGACGCTTCTGTGCTGCCGGTGGCTTGACGTGGCTTTCTAGAACGCCTACTCAATTAACTGCTACTGCGGCGAAACAATTCCATTATTTTTCTGCGTGTCCCATGTCAGTGTGCCCAGAAAGTGGCTTTCAAATGGACTTAATATACTTAACAATCACCCTTAAAACAACAGCCTAGACCAGCCTGAGCGCAGGAGGTGTTGAAAGCGTAGTTACCCGTCTGTGCGCATAATTAGAAAGAAGCTGACGAGTGAATCCTTTTTGTTATATTTTTGTCTTTTTCTTTTAACACGGAATTGTTTTATGCCGGGGTCCACCGCGACTGCGCTGACATACTTTCGTCAAAGGAGGGACGTTGAAAAATATCTACAAAAAGATTGCCCCCCCCCCCCCCCCCAAAGAAAACCCAAAAGACAAGCATCTGTCACGCATAATCGAACCAGCAACCTCTTGATTCTCAGCGCGCAACACTAACCACTATGCCGTACGACGTACGCAGCCTGGCATGATAACAACAAGCCATTTATATACACCATAAACTGTTTGAAAGTCCCCAGAGTTTCGAAACTCCAGCGCGTTTTCATCATCAGTGGCGAGATGGCGAGACAGGCTCGCGTTGGGCGTGCTTTAATGGTCGTCGTCTTCGCCAAGCGCCGCCTCTACGGAGAATGGTCTCCCCTGTGCGCGCGCTTATCACAGTCGTGATTCGGGAGAGGACGAAGGTCACTTCGCCCGCTGCCACGGCCGCGTTATTGAAATGACCATGCTGCTGACAGACGACGCAGGAAAAATTGTGACAGTTGTTTGTGCGCTCGTTTTGTGCGCCTTTCTGTTTGAGCGTGGTTTAAGTGTCTAGCTGTGACAATTGTTAGTCCACACTCGTACTATTTATGCTGATTTCATGCGTGATTTTTGCTTGAGGTGTGCGCTGCCAGTTCCGAGCTGTTTGCCGTTCCTCACCTGACTTTGCAATTAGTTGCTGTAGCTGAAACAATGCACATTAAACGCTCAACTAGTGTATAAAAGATACGTTTCACTTTCGTGCTATACTAATTCCTATATAGGGGGATCAGCCACATTTCTTTTCTCCAGTGTCTCTGTTATATTCTTCTATTACCCACACCCCCTTTCCAAGTGCAGCGTTGGCGGCCAGTCTAAGATCTAGGGAACCTCTCCGTGTCTCCGTCTATGTCATCCTCTCACCCCCCCCCCCCCCCCCCGAACCAGTACAGGGTCTCTATGCGCGTTATGACAGCATGAGATGTCATGATATTTCATAATAGCATCATATAGAAAGAGACAATGAAAACGAAGGCCGGGAGATAAACCAGATATTTGCATCCGGTTTTTTTTCCCATTCATGGGGCTTTCCAAATAGGGATAAAAAAGAGGGCGTAGAGAAACAAAGAGAAAAAGTGCGCATACAAACAGGATAAAAAAATAACGAACTATACAGAAAGGAAGGACGTTCTGATTACGGTCGTTCAGAAAGGCCGGTCAATCGCAAAAAAAGTACAGTATCACTTGCAGAGCCTTTTTATGCGATGTTGCGTCCTGTACATGGCTTAGAATTCTTTCTTCTGAGAGAAGTTGGTCATCCAACTTACTCAGTGCGTTGTTAAAGGTTAGTGGCTGCGTACTCTACAGTGGGAAGTCGGAAAAGATGTTCAATTGTTTCTTCGTTACCTAAGTGGTCGCAGTCTGCGGTGTCGGCCATACCATTACAGAACACATAGGCCATGCAACGCCTAACCACAATCTCCTGAGAGGGCTAGCGCTTACTCGGTGAAGCCTCAATGGCACTGGAAGATTTGAGGTTGAGTAAAATGAGTGCAATCAGGCATGTCTGAAGGGCGGCTCAATCCATTGAGAATTGGTGCACTCACGAGCAACCGAGTGGACCTCCCATGCAGCGCCGTTCATAGAAAGCGGGAGGCAGTTCGTTGCGTTAAGTATGGGCTGAACGGGTGGCTAAATCAACGCGTTCTTTGCCGATGATACCACAATTACTAGGTAACTAGAGAAAAGTGGCTTGATGTTCTTTGTCTGTTAGATGATGTACTACATCTGCAGTCGGGAATAACAGAATAACAATTATTCATGCGGTCCGTGGCGTAAGGCTGATGGTAGAGACTGCAGTGCTGCAACAATATCGATGACAGCCGAGCTAACAGCACAATTATAATTGATCAACCAACATAAAAATGGCTCATTCCAATAACTAAATGACATTCATGCCAATTATCGAAGGATATATTTAACAAACTTCTGCATACCTTGCGCATGCTGGCGAAACTTTGTCTTCTTTTTTGCATACGAGTGAAGCTGACGCAATGCCAAGGTCAGAGAAGCCAATTATATGGAAGCCTTGAAGAACCTAACTGTCGATTCTGGCCCAATACTCCGACAACACCACCCACCTTCTGCTTCGCAAGAAAATTCTTATCGTTTCCTACAAACCCAAGAGATCAAGGCCATCAGGTCTTCGTTACACTGCGGGGACATTAAAGTTCGCTTCATGCGCTTGCGTTGTGCAATTAGGTTGCATATAACGTCAACTCGAAACTTTTTACAGGCACATGGTGCTCTTCAATAAGTATTTCAGTAGACATGGTGGATGGCCCATGGTTATCGTTTCCACTGCATGATAGAACTTTAGCCATATTCCAGCTAATGCTAGATGCATTATACTATTTGGCAATGAATTTAATATTTATCAGCCCTGCAAGGCCCGCTGAACACATCAGTGGCTGTTAATACCCGCATAGACCATGTATACGTTCTATGTAGCCTACGAACATTGGCTACCACACGTCTAAGCTCCTCGAACATGAGAATGCTGCAGCAGCTCTCTATGGGGCTGTGCAATTAGAATGCACACTGTACGGCTTAGCCTGATAGTAAGAATCAATACCACCTCCTCAAAAACCAACAATTGAAATGACACTCCTTTTCTCTTGCCTTGTTACTGTTCTTCAATGTCTACTAAGAAACAGGAGGTGCTTTGGTTCACCTCTCCGTCTTTCCTTCTCACACACACTCTCTCTCTCTCTCTATCTCCAATATTTCTCTTTACTGTTGAAACATCCGTACAGTTACACAAAACTTCCTTAATATCAAACGAAAAGTCACATATGCTCTTTGCGGAGTTGGTTTTTTCCCTTCAATTTTGCTGTCGTCATGAGTGGTAGCTTTAGTGCCGTAGATACGTTCACCACTTTGAACAACAACAACAAAAAAACTGCAAGCATAGCAAGGTACGTGTCTACAGCCGCCGCATGCCCTTCATGGGAAAACAAACTTCGAAGGACTGCGCCATCTACCACGATTTATGGCGGAACACTCTGCGTTATTTCTTGGACGGCACCGTTTGTGCGGAGCTGAGGTAGGC